CAAGCCAAAACTCGAGGACGATCTCAAACTCTACATCTCTGCAATGGCGAAGTAGTCAGCTCGGTCCTAATCCGAGAGGTAGAAAAATTGTAGCGACCTGTCTACTACGTGAGTAAAGTCCTGCACGCCACGGAGAATAGGTACCCAAACATCGAGAAGCCAGCATTCTCGTTGGTGCTAGCAGCCCAAAAGTTGCGTCATTACTTTCAAGCCCATACCGTCGTGGTCTTAACCGATTGACCCCTAAAGCAAGTCCTCGAGAAGTCTACGGTCTCGGGTAGGCTAACAAAATGAGTAATCGAGCTCAGTGAGTACGACATTCGGTTCGAGCCATGCCCAGCAATTAAGGCGCAGGTCTTGGTTGACTTCATCGCCGAGTACACGTTCAGCATGCCGACCCCTGAAGTTGTCGAGCTCGTGAGTCGTGACCACCTTGGAGGCGTCAACCAGTGCGGCCCCCGGCCCGACTTGGGACGAGGGGCCCTGGATCCCCCATGTGGACAGCTCATCCAACCAACGCGGGAGCAGAGCTGGATTGATACTCTATGGACCTTGCGAGGTGAAGCCGGAGTATGCTCTCTGGTTCATGTTCCAAGCGTCGAACAATGAAGCCGAGTGCAAGGTGCTGATAGTCGGGCTACTGCTAGCAAAGGAGGTCGCGCGAGACATCTCGTGGTGTGCAGCGACTCGCAACTAGTGGTAAACCAAGTGAATGGGAAATATGAGGCTCGGGAGTCTGCCATGCCGGCCTACCTGGCCAAGGTTAGGGAGCTCCTGCTCAACTTCCACTCTTGGTACATACAGCAAGTGCCGAGGTCCGAGAACACTAAAGCCAATGCACTCTCGAAGCTGGCCGATGTGACGGACACTACGAAGAGAACGGTCTTCATTGAAGAACTGCCACAACCTAGCATAGAAAGGGTGGCAGAAGAGGCCGCTCCTATTTTGGCTGAAAAGACAAGCTGGATGGATCTGCTCGTTGATTATCTGCGCCACAGGACCCTACCTGCAGAGTGTAATGCAGATCGGAGGGTGGAGCAGCAGTCAACTCCCTATGTAATCATAGGCGAGCAACTATATCGCAGGTCATTCACGCTCCCCTACCTACGTTGCTTGCGCCCAACTAAAGCGAGCCAGGTGCTACGCGAGATCCATGAAGGACACCTGGGGGCAAGGCGCTCGCCCAAGAGGTGCTATGACAAGGCTATTATTGGCCCACGATGAAGGCAGACACACTAGAATTAGTTCGAAAGTGCAACAAGTGCCAAAGGCATGCCAACATATCAAACCAACCTGCTACCGACTTGAGGTACCTTACTAGCTCATGGCCATTTTCATAGTGGGGGGGTAGATATCCTCGGTCCCTTTCCACCTACGACCGGGCAGAGGAGGTTCTTGTTCATCGCGGTTGACTACTTTATGAAGTGGGTGGAAGCCAATCTGCAGGTATCCATCATAGCTCAGAATGTGCAAAACTTTTTCTGGAATAGCATCGTCTGCAGATTCGGACTCCCCAAGGTACTGATTTTGGACAATGGGAAGCAGTTCAAAGACATCAAGTTCCAAAATTGGCGTGCCAAGATGGGAATCCAACAAAACTTCACCTCGGTGGCCCATCCCCAAGCAAACAGTCAGGCCGAAGTGGCGAACAGGGTGATACTCCATGGACTCAAAACTCAGCTCTCCCAAGCTAAGGGTTTGGGGGTGGACGAGCTGCCCAGTGTCCTCTGGGCCTACCGAACTGCTATCAAGATGACGACCAGGGAGACTCCTTTCAACCTAACGTACAGGACAGAGGCAATCATTCCAATCGAGATCGAGGTGGCAACCCTACGGTCCGAGAAGTACAATGAGGCTGCTAATTTGGACGAGCTGCGGACTAACCTCGACCTGGTGGAAGAAGTCCATGACTTAGCCTATATTCAGACTACAACATACCAACAACAAGTAACTTGGTATTATAACACCCAAGTTAAGAGACGTCAATTTCGAGTTGGCGACCTAGTACTCAAGAAGGTTATAGTACATGAGCCCGGGCGTAGGAAGGCTAGGTCCGAACGAGGAAGGCCCCTACAAAGTTCTCATGGTGATCGGTGAGAGTACGTACGAGCTCGAAACGTTGGAGGTGAGGCAGGTACGCGTGCATGGAACGTCGACAACTTGAGGTATTATTTATGAAGAGTTCGGAAGTTTTGAGCTATGTCCACTAAGACTACAAAACTCACCAAGTGTGAAAATGAGACCACTCGCCCTGGCGACTTGGTCTAGCCGATCTACGCTATGAGCACTTCGACTAAGTTGTACACAAGGGGAAGCCAAATCGCTATGAGCACTTCCGAACCACTAGGACCTGCACTCTTGCCTGCGTTCGCTCACTTAGAGTTTCCTCCCCGGAGTCCTTCATTCCCTCTCTCCAGGTCATCTAGAAACGGCTATCCACTACTTAGGTCAAGGAAGAAATCAGTTTAGCGTGTTTTTTCCATCTGCGCAACCTAGTGGTTGTGTCGCATCCGCATGTCCCCAATACGCTACCTTGTGCCTAGGCCAAACCAACCGAACCAACCCGATCCCGAACCATTGGTTAGACCACAAACGAGGATGAAGAACGGACCAAATCACATCAAGTGAAAACTACTCCCTCGTCGGATTGACTACACCGGACTTGGGAGTGGGGGCAATTGATGAGGGGTAATTTGGTCTTCCAATGACATCATGACACGTGGCATCGCAAAACAGCTTCGCAACTGCATCAGCAACCTCGGCACCACCCCAGTAGGCCGAACTGCGAATAGCTAGGAAGGACCTCAAGTCGGTGTAAGAGACGACCTACTCTCTCTCTCTCTCTCTCTCTCTTGCTTTCTAGCTCTCAAAAACTCCAACTCGCTAACTTAAGCATCGGAGTGCCCACACCGGGTAAAAGTAGCCCGAGTACTCTGATCTTCTCTCTTTCTTTGCAGCTCGACCAAGAAACCTACATAGTCTAGCGTCCGAGCTGTCCTCCAACAGGGAGCTACCAGATCACGCACCATCAGTCCTCATCGTACTAAACTTGATCCTAAAGCCAAGTGTGTCTTCCTTGTTGTAATCCGGTGTGAAGGAGTTGGTATGTTACCATGGATGTTACCCTCTTTGACTCCACTCCTTTTTTCTCTAGTGTTGTTACTCAGGAGTGTTATAAAGATGGTGTCTTGTTCCTCTTCCAATTCCTACTCCGGCTTCTTCATTACTAGCTCCAGCTCCTATCCCCTTGCCTACTCCACCATGTGTTATTCCACTCTTTTTCAAACGCCGACATAAGAGGATTGATTCTAATACTCTTCATGCACCAATAGGAGAACCCATGCAACTTCCAGTCGATCCATCTGAGGCTTCAAATTCACCAGATATAGATCCAGGTATGCCTCCTTCCACCACTGATGAACCTACTCCTGTTGTTGATACTTCTCCTCCTATTGTTGTTACTACAACTCCTAATTTTGTTGATGATCTTCCCATTGCTCTCTGCAAGGGGAAGACGAAGTGTACTATCTCTACCACTTATGAAGCAAATAGCCTTTCCTTCTTTCCTACAGTTTCTAGTCTTCACTTTTGTAGCAATAGTAGTCAAAGTCCTAATGTCATAAGGTTCAAATTCAATTGTAGCATATCCAGCCTTGACATTTAAATTTCCAATCTTGGAAAGTTTTCTTCCTAGAGTTGATTAAATCTATATCTCCTAGTAAACTCAATGAAAAGTCTGCCAACTTTCTAAGCACTCCAGATCCTCTCTTTTACCAAGTCATTGGACTGGTTCTTCTTCTGTTTTCATGATGAAATATATAGCAAAGGCTGTCAACAAATCAGATTCAGACCGGATATACCAACATTTAAATGCAATCCAATTAGTATCAACTCTAGTTTGTTTTGTTTGGATTGGATTTAGGTATTATATATCATTACTGAAATCAAGTAAAATGCCTTCCATAAGATTGTGTATTGTATATCATTGAGAAAGTTAATTGAAAAATGCATTCCAGTTAACTAAAATTAATTTTCATGCCACAACCTGTTAAAGATGTAATAATGAATACACCGTAAAGCCATATGGTAATATAGCAAAGGCTGTCAACAAATCAGATTCAGACCGGATATGCCAACATTTAAATGCAATCCAATTAGTATCAACTCTAGTTCGTTTTGTTTGGATTGGATTTAGGTATTATATATCATTACTGAAATCAAGTAAAATGCCTTCCATGAGATTGTGTATTGTATAACATTGAGAAAGTTAATTGAAAAATGCATTCCAGTTAACTAAAATTAATTTTCATGCCACAACCTGTTAAAGATGTAATAATGAATACACCATAAAGCCATATGGTAATATGTGCATGCATACTAATACCATCAGCTTAGATAACAGTCAAAACCAATATGAGTGGATCCATATTCTATCTATTATGAAGGAAGAATGATGTAACCTTTGAGATTAATATCCTGTGTTATCACATCGATCCAAATCATGATCTAATTCATTACAACTCTTTTGTGGACTAACCGCTACTGTTGTCATGGGTGTTCTAGGTGGTTTTTTCATTATTTCAATGGACGATTATATAAGAAATACATGGATTTATCTTATAACAGCAAGAGGTGAAGCACAATGAATTGTGAAAATGTTTCATAATAACAACCAATTTTGATAAGCATGTAAATAAATTTAGATCAAACAATGGAAAGTAATAGTTTGGAATGCATTGAATTCTTATTTGGAAAATTGGGATCATTCATCAGAATTCTAGTTATATTGTCAGCAGAAAGGACTAGCTGAAAGTGGAAAAGCTCATCTTATGTAGGTTATTTTTTTTATTTTTTTGATTGTTTATTCATGACCTTTTAGATTTATGGGATCAGTCACTAAAGACAACTTGCTTTTCTTTTCTACAATTATAGGTATGATATTTAATTTTTTAATTTATCTAGACATTATTTGAACTTTTCAAATAATAGGTTTGTGTTACCTTGTCAAAAGCTTGGCAACATTCATTTGATGCTGTTCCAACAAATGGAACATTTGCTTTCTCCAAAAGCTCCTAGAAGAGGGAAATTTGAAATTATAATCATTAGACGCATCAAAAAATATTATCTTGGCGTAACTGCAGTGTTTAAAAAACCTGGATTCCACCATCTTCACCAAAACGGCCATGTATAACAGGGAAAACTATATCCACTGTCGCAGCAAGGTGTTCTGCAAACTCAGATAAAGACTGGAATCCTTTGGCAAGACTGCAAAGTGATATAAAAAAATAAACCTTTTGGCATATGCTAGTTTAAAAGCAAATAAATTACTGAAATCTGGCAATTTACCTTTCAAGTTTGAAGTCAAAATCTGCAGGAGTATTTGAATACACCTGTAGAAGTTGGATGTAGAAAGAAAAAAGTTCCAACAAAAGAGATAATTAAGATACAACAACAGCCCAATATACAGTCCAGCATCTTTTTTTAATCAGTATATACCATATAGCATTTAGGCATTTTTCAGATGGTATTTGCACATATATAGATGATCTGATGAAACTGCAAAAATATGATAAAGTGAATAAAAATGAGTGTAACTAAGAGAGTCACATTTTTATGTGCATATTCTTTTGAATATACTTAAGCTGTAAATATGCCACTTAGAGTAGCTAATTAATCAGAAATTTCTTTAAACTCCAGAACTTATTCAGCACAGACAATTAAAATCACCTGGAACCAGACCTAAAATATCCAACCAAAACCTGGCAGATAAATTGAACAAGCAGTAATCACAGCTTTCTGAAATAGTCAATGCTAGAAACATGCATGAAACAGAGTCTGCAGGACCCAGAAAGAAGAAAACTCCTCATAAAAGTACAAGGACCAGATATTGATTAACAAGATATTCCTATTCAAGTACGAAAATGCCATAAAGCCCACATCATGATGCAATTAACTAGAGCAAGTAGCTGATGCAAGCCATGCAATTCTTTAAAAAATGGAATAAATTAAATAATTGGCACAAAAGCAAATTTAAAAAGATTCCGATTGTCAACCTCAGTTAGAATATTTTTCAGAAGTACTAAGATGGTATGATTAAATAACATGACCCATGGCAAGATAAAGACAGATAAGGTGGTACTAGTTCCCACAAGGTTTTGCAAATAAAGTCTTTTTACTAAGAGGGGAAGAGATAAGAAATATTGCAGTGCACCCTGATAATTAAGCAGCATCTGTAAACTAGGTACATGCTTCAGAATCCAACACTAGTTGTACATAGAAACACAGACTAAGCCTTAATTGAACCTCGGTATGTTTCTTCGCTACAGTTATGAAGTGACTGCTCAGCTGGCCCCAAGCTTAGGGATGCAACTCGGGTAGGTTGGATCGGATTGAAGGTCAACCCAGACCCAATCTGCTTAACCCAACAGAACTCAGGTTGGTCTCAGGCTTGGGTTAGGCAGGTTGCTAGGATTGTTAGAATTTTTTAATACATCATTATATGGTCATCTTTCATTGGCCTTTATGGTCCAATTTAAGAGTACAATTGATTGTAAATATGTACAAATTTCATTTACAAATGTACATAAACATGTGTATAAAATTAGAAAAAAAAATATGGTTTTCCATAAATATAATGCATGTATGTGTATGGGTTTGTTTGGGCAGACTCGGGCTACCCAATACCTCAACCCAAATTCAACCCAAGTTTAGGCCAGGCCTGAGATTTTTGGCCCAGACCCAGCCCACAACTCAAAAATGCAGGCCTAACCCATGCAAAAACTCAGGTTGGGTCGGGTCAGGCTCAGGTTAAGCCTGCCCAAGTTGCATCCCTACCCAATCCAGATAAAGGGGGCCATGTCGTTGACATCTAGATAATAAGGCATGGCTTCTGAATCTTGACAGAGTGAAATGGTGGAACAAAATTTGTGTAGCCAACCCCAAATGGACTGGGCTTTGTAGAATCAAGTTATGAATGTCATGCCCTGGTCTGTACCTGAAAGTATCATTTTTGAGCTTTTCTTTTTCATCTTCTTTTATCATTATCAATATAATTTTTTTACAAGTAAAGCTTGAGATTGATTCCCATACTTTACCAAAAAAGGTTTGAAATCTAAAGGCTTATATTTTTAAAGAAAATATGCTTCTTGATAGAGTGCAATGTGAGGGATTCATGTAGCCAACCTCAATCCCCAAATGGTTGGGATTAAGGCTGAGATGAGTTGAGTTGAGTTGAAGATCATAAGACATGTCAGATTTGATATCAGCATGTCACAAAGCAATCAACAGTATGGATATTATGTTACTCCCTAGTGAACCAAATTTAAAATCCTACTTAGCATCATTACTGATGGTTAATAATAATGCATTCTTCTGAAAGCAGGAGAAATACATAATGCACTAACCTGTGCAAAGGATATTGCGTAAGCATTAAGATTGCAATCAATGTAATAGCAACTGACAAGCAAATCATCCCCCTGGAACAGAATAAAAACACGAATCGCAGTAATCCATCGATTCAGAAATCAGGGAAGCAACAAAAAAGAATTCCAAAAAAAAAAAAAACAAAACAAAAACAACGTCAAATTGCAAAGCCGAATAACAATATAAACTATAAAGTACTATCAGTCCTATCCATTAAAGTTCTGGTACCAGTTGCCCATCAAAAACACAAGTTTTGCTACACTATGTTACATAAGCATTAGAGCTCAATCTCCGACAACCATGAACAGTCAACTAAAGAGAGGTAACTAGACAGTAAAATATATGCCTCACTCCCTTCCAATCCATGTTTTATAGGATATTCGGGAAGAGAGAGAGAGAGAGAGAGAGAGAGAGAAAGAGATTGACACGTAATTACTTGTATATGATCAAGAACTGATCTTGCAGAATTCAGTGAAATTCCACGCTCTGCAGACGGCCCTCCACAAATGAGACCAACCCTGAGAATCCGACTTTTCTCTTTTTCCTTGTCTTCAATAATTCGATCTTGGAAAACCTCCGTCGTGGCACGACTAATTCGAATTCTGTAATAACGTTTATATGATAAGTTATACAAAGCGAGCTTCGAGGCAGATAAATTTGGCGTATAAACGATTGGTTTAGCATGAGCGAAATGAGTCTCTGACTCTCGAGTGACATTTTTTCTTCCATTAAACAAAGTGGACCTATAACCATGCGCAACAAAAGCTCGAGAGAGTAACGCCATTGAATAATAGTTATGTGGTTTCGGATGAACTGGGGTTTCAAAATAGTTTTAACCACGCACAACAAAAGCTCGAGACAGTAACGCCATTGAAGAACACTGACGTTTCCTCCAACGACCACTCTCACATGACCCAAGAAAATATTTCGAGAATTTGACCCTGAGCTGGCGCCGATTTTCTGATAAACGGCAACTGAACCAAGCTCTTAAAAGAGAATGAAAGTGAAGCAGAAGATTCGTGATGCATAAATTTTTATCCTTGTACTTCACAACAACAAAAAAAAGGGTAAATTACAAATACCCCGTACTATGGGGTCTGTCCGTGAGACAAAAACCTCCTTTCGTTAGATTTTCGTTGAATAATCTCCATATTATCCTTGTAATAAGAAAAATACTGTCATCTTCCCCAAAGATACACGAACAGCAGCGGCGATAAAGGGAGAGAAAGAGAGATCGGGGAGGTTTTTGTCTCACAGTCATAATATAGGAAGGTTTTTGTCGTAAAACAAAATACATGGGGTCTTTGTCACAGACCCCAAAATACAGGGGGTCTTTGTAATTTACCAAAAAAACAAAAAACAATATGCTTGCAACTGTTGCGGAGAGAGTGCCGACGCCACAGCGACAGTCTCCAACTCTCCATCGACCACCGTGATTCCATGCGTTGTAAAATAAAACAAATCGCGGGGCCCGTGCGATATACGTAGAACTGTTAATCGGACCGTGTCGCCCGCGAACCGGCACGAAATTGATCCGGCCTGGCACAATAATATAATATATTATATTATTTTATACAATTATATACATATATATTAATATATTATATAATATATTATATTATTATATAATAATTATATAATATATTATTATATTTTTTTTCAAATTTCTATTATATATAAATAATTGTATACATCAAAATTTATATATAATAAAAATTTAAATATTTTTTTAAGTTTTGTTAAATAGCTTGGCCTGGTCTGTAGCCTGACCTGGCCCAAGGCACGACCCACGAACCAGCCCAGCCCATAGCATGGCAAGGGCCTGTACGGGCTCGAGCTGACTCCCAAATTATACCAACGGAGAGAGGCACAACCTACGGGCCAGTATGGCACAACCCACACTTTGCACTGGCCGCATGCAAGTCATGTCATGTCGGCCTAGCACAACCTGATGTTAGAGGTGTAAAATGGGTCATGCTAGGTTGACACAGCATGGCTTGCACTTGTGTGGGTTGAGCATCATGCCTCCCTCCCTTGGGATATTTTGGGGGGTCGGCATGGCACAGTCCATGGCTTGAGCCCACACGGGCCCATGCCGTGTAACGAGCTAGGATAGTTCGTGGGCTAAGCCTTAGGCCTAGTCGGGTTGTGGACCAGGCCAAATCTATTTATTTGAAAAAAAATAGAAAAAAAAATCTTAAAATTTTTATGTTACGTGAATTTCAATGTATACAATTGTTTTTATATATAAAAATTAAATAAAATAGTATAATAAAGTTGAAAATAATTTTTTATTTTATTAATATATTATATACTATATATTATTATATAATTATAATTTATATAATATTATATATAATATATATAAACATATATATGGGTCGTGTCGAGCTAGCCCATGAGCCACGGGCGGCACGGACCGCATTGTCAAACCATGCTGCTCGTGTACTTGAAACCCCAAGCCTAGCACGACCCATACAATCATGTTAGGCCATAGCATGGTCCATGACCATCGGCAGTCCAACACGGCCCAATTTACACCTCTAGATATGTGGAAAAAATAAGACAAATTTATTAAAACCTCTTTATTTTTTACATATTGTCAAAGCTACTATTTCTCACAGTTAATTTTTTGATAAATTTTTTAAACTACTCTTATGGTTTAGCTAATTTACTAAGTATACCTTATTATTTGTCTATCTAATGTGACTCCTACTATTTTGAAAAATTACCATTACCATTAAAATATTGACAGAAGGGCTGAAATGTCCATTTTACCCTCTAATTGATTTTTTGGTTTCGATCCCCAACATTAGGAATGGCAATGGGGCAGGGCACCCCTTCCCCATCTCCGCCCCGAAGTCACGATACCTTGCCCCATACCCGCCCCGTTCTCAATAGGTTCGGGGCGGGGCATCCATTCTCCATCAGGGATGGAAAATCCTTGAATTTTTCAAGCTCTAAGACAATTACTTAAAAAATATATATTTTATAGACAATTTATAGATAGGATGAATTTGAAGGTATTTTAGAATTGAATTATAATACAATAAGGACAATTCAAAAATAAAATTATGGGATCTGAGATTTTAAAAATTTAGTGAGAACTTAATGATATTTTAAATATCAATATTAAAACTAAATATATTTTACTAATTTACCTTCGAATTTAGGACGAATTCGATAAATTACATACAAAATCCGCCCCCGCCCCGCATCCGATTCGGACAAAAATTAATTTCCTCGTCCCCGCCCCGTACCCCGTCATTGTTTAGGGTCGGGGAAAAGCGGGGCCCCCGAGGGGAAATTGCCATCCCTGCCCAGCATGCCATCGCCCAACAATGTCGTCCCAGTGGAAGCATACCCACCTCAGACTCTTCCCGTCATGAACCACCTAACCACCACCCCCGCAACCGCCCGACCAACTCTCATCTCAGCAATGTGAGCTCGTTGCTTTTTCCTTGTTCATCTTCCTCGCCGTTCTCTACTGGAAGCTTTCCCGGAAAAGGATGGCCCATCCGATCTAAAGCCCTCACACTGCTTCTTCTTTCCTTGTGAGTTCAAGTACAGATAATGATTGCTTGTTTCATTTCTTCTTCCCTTTACAGAGATGGACGGTAGTAAAGCCTACAAGATCCAGTTCGACATAACCATCTCCGTCGGCCCCTCGAATACCAACTACAGGAGGAAATACAGAAAGAATGGATCGATAAGAACAAAAGAAAAAAAAAAAAACAGAGACTAACTGACAACATAACCTACCTTAGTTGTGTCCCTGACCGATTGCAAGATGCTGCAAACGAGAGATCAAGCCAAGTTCTATTTGCTCGGCGTGTAGGAACCAACGACTGTGGAGAGCGAAGGTGAATTAATTAGATCTGAAAGGGAGCTACTAGGTGCAAGCCTTTTCTGTTCTCCGTGCCAAAACTCTGATGGCGGTTTTGGCGACTTGCTCGATTCGAGTGACAAAGTTCATAGGACAGGGGAGATCTCGGTTATCCACTGGGTGATAAGGAACCAGAATCAGACTCTCCACAGGAATCAATGCTTCATCCATTCTCAAAGTAAAATCCTGTCATTCTCTCTCTGTCAAGCTCTCTGCAACTATCTTCTGATCAGTTTTTCCTATGTTTTATCACATTTTTCTTTCTTTCCGACTTCAATTTTGTGTCTTGGACAAGAATCCCGAGCTCGAAAAATTGAAAATCATTGAGAATAGTGAAGTTTTTGCTTACTTTTCAGTGATTTTTTTTGAAAACCTAAAGGCACTTTTCTGTTCTTGTTTGTAGTGTTGTTTATTTGCTGATTGAAACTTGAAAGACTCAAGGAGTTCTTCTGTGCGAAGTCGGATGGAGTAGATGAAACATGGATGAAGGGTTTAAGTGATTTTAAGCAACATTTCTAGTATGAAGCAATGATGCTTGATTTGATTCCCATCTAACAACCATGAGTTTTTTTCCTAGTCTCGGTTCCTTAAGAAGAAGAAAGGAGAGGGAGAGGGAGAAGGTGAATGGTAAAATTGGGATTAAAAACAAATATACGTCACGTGTGTGTAAGTTTTGATGGAATATTTATGATGTTAACGAAAAGAGTAAAGCTACTTAATTGTTATAAATAGTAAGAGTGGCTTTAAATAATAGTGAAACAGTATGGTATATTTGGTTAATTAGTTAAATCAGAGTAGTTAGAAATTTATCCTTATTTTTTCATTTTGTTTATATAGTACATTACGTGATTAATAATTTTTTAAAATTCCTAAAATACCCTTCCTATGAACTATTCATTATCATCAACCTTGAGACAAAGAACATAGCAATAGTGACAATAACCCATTCCTCTCTATCCTCTTCCGTTTGGTTTAAGGGAAAGGAATGGGAAAAGGGGAATATTCCTAAATGATGCATTTTTCTCATGTTTGATTGTTGGGATACATTGGTATGGGATGGGAAAAGAGTGAGAAGCAAGATCCCAAAAATAAGTAAATGGGATCTCACCAAAATGGTGCGACCCTAATGAGAAAGGAAAAACGTGAGACGCGCCTGAGAAAAGTTATCGGGCTTTGTCAAGCCTGAACTCGCGAGTCTCCTTCTTCCTTCAACCAAGCATTCCAACGGTCGTATCTCTGTCGATTTCTTTAGTGATTTCAAGCAAAGGAAGACCAAATCTACACTCCTCTTCCTTTGGCGAGCCATTTCCTCTATTTTCTTGTATATTTTGGTGGATAAGAATGTTTTAACCATTGTTGTGCCAGTCTCTGCAATGACTGGCTCCATTTCATCTTCTTCACTATTTTCAGCAAGGAGAAGCTCCATTCTCCTTGTGTAGGCGAGATTTGTTAGGAGATTTGGTAGGACAATCTGTTTTAGTGAGCAAAGGAGAAGCTCTATTTCATCTTCTTCACTACTTGTGCCAATCTCTGTTCTAGCCTTCTCATTTTTTGAGATTTGTTAGGACATGCACAAGGGTAAAATGAGAGTTGTTAGGTATAGGGGTTTTCTCTGAGATTCACATTACAGTATTGTGACGGTGTTTTTTTTTTTTTTGATATTCTGAAGTGATGCTATTTGTTAGGTACAAGAGTTTTCTCTGAGATTCACGTTACAGTGTTGTGACAAAGGTTTTTTTTTTTTTTTGTTTCTTTGTTATTCTGAAGTGATGCTATTTGTTAGGTACAAGGGTTTTCTCAGAGATTTGTTTTTTTTTTTTTGTTATTCAACCATAAGATCACTGCTGGTTTGATCGATTTACAATGGTGTGCATTTTTTTTTCCACTATGACTTCCAACAAGACTACCTATTCTTTTGGTTCGATTTCAGAACCCTTCTCTACCAAGATCAAAGAAGAAGATGGAGCTATTACCAAAAAAATAAAAAAGAAGAAGAGGGAACCGATTGGTTCTTTTGAAGTGTTGACTTAATTCCTTGTTTTACTATAGATTTATCTGGGGTTAGAAGAGGGAACCAAATGGGTAGATTTATCTTATTGAAATTTCTTCAATAAAGAAGTATTAATCATTCTATGAATTTTCACTTTGTATTCATCTTCAATGATGACTGGTTGAGGATGGGACTGGCTCATTGGGTGCTAATAGTTGTATCTCTTAAAAATGCCATCTTTTTTGAATTAAGAACTACAGTAGTACATAATCATTTCTCCTCAATGGGACCGGCTCATTGACTGGCAAAGAACTACAGTAGTACATTTCTCCTCAATGGGAGTAGCATGAGGTTCCTGATCAGAATCCATAATCATTTCAGGCA